TGAGTTTTGTCTTCATGAGTGTAACAATGACATCTGCAGCTGTATTACATCAATTAACTCCAATATTTTTTTTGTCATTCCATCTATGTTGGTGTATGCAATTTTCAGCACATTCTCTCTCCTCTTGTTCTTCACTCACTCTTTCTCTAGTGATTTTGCTGGTTTGCCTTTTTGTACCATTTCACTTGTTTGCCTAACCCCCCCCCCCCCATCACCTAGTAGAAAAAAAATTTAATTTCTTCTTCGTTCCTGCTCTTATTTAGAAGTTTCACCTCTATAAGGTTCAGTTTCAGCTTATCTTGTTTTTTTTTTTGAAGGATCTCATCTTAATGACCATTATTTCCCTTCCTCATAACTTTGTAATTTCTTCATTCTTAGCACTTCTTCCATCTGTTTAGCACTGTTAAGGGTGGTCCTCAAAGGTCAATCTTTTCCTTTTTGTACCTGCCAATTGTCCTGTAGTCGCAGATATTTTCTTTGGTTGAAAGACCTTCCACTAGCCCAACAATTTTATCTACTATTTTTGGGTAACAACATATTCAGGTAACCAGTCAGGAGGCTGAACGGTCTCACTGTTTTACCACTCTCTTCTCTAAAGCAATATGTTGATCCCAAAAGCAACTGTGGCTGCTGGAAGCAACATGCTTGTTTTGGAAGCTTCCACTTTCAGATAAAGAATTTCTTTATCTGAACACATGGCTACATGGTAAACACATGGGTAACAAAGCCACAGACAGCTTTGGATCTTTCTCCTACCCCTGCAGGCATCCAAGAAGCCCACCAAGTCTAGTGGACTCAAACAATGCCCTCAAGGCCAACTACAACAAGTTAATTGCTATAAAGGGCCCTTGGCAGAGCATAATGGGATTCTTCTTAATTTGAGCATCATAAATCTTTTAGTTGAATGATGGTCTGTTTGATCTTTAGACTGTATTTATACAAGCCCAGAGCCGTCTTACTGCATGGGCCGGTGGGCACTTGCCCTATAGTACAATTAGCTTAACATAGGGTTCAATGAGCATAGGACAGGTTCATTATGGAAGCAGAATGTTTAAATATTTAGGTCTTGTTGCAAGCACACTTATATAATATAACCCTACATCCTGGTGTGGGACTAAGAACTAAATATTTAAGATATACATTTCCAGGTGAATAACCCTTTCAGCAGAAATGAAATGTAATGTTTTGAGTGGAGCACAAAAGAGGAAGAGAGCTGCCGTGGAGGAGGAGAAAATAGGAAAACTTCCAAAATTAACATAATGGCTCAACAGAGGTGCAACGACAGCCACTCATACCATTCCATCAGATATAGCATCCATTCCTGCAATGTCAGCCACCAGTACTGTTTTTTCAGATATAGCATACACATCCATTCCTGCTACCAGTCAGTCAGTTTTAGCAGACATACCATCATTGCCTGATGCTGCTGCTGGTGACATGTTACAAGAGGAAATATCAAATCTGTAACAGTCAAGGAGTTTGCAATCCAAGAGACAGATCCAGGGCTATGGAACATTAATGATACTAACAAAATAGATTACTGGATTCGCAGTGGGCCCTCATCATGATAACAACCTTTCAAACTCATGCAGTGTACAAAACAGCTGGAGTAGAGAATATGAAGGCAAGGTATTAATTAAACAATATGTTCAAACATGAACTGCAGAATGGCGAGTATGTAAAACGTGAATGGCTACTCTATTCACCATCCCAAGGTTGTTTGTACTGCTTTGTATGTCGCCTATTGTCTAAGAAAGAATCTCCCTTTGCTACATTGGGGTTCAGTGACTGGAAGCACAGCAATGTTATTGTAGAACATGAAAATAGAGATCATCAAAAATGCATGACAGCATATTTGATAAGGCATAAAGAAATTGGAAGTGTAGATTCTTAATTACTTGAGCAACATTGCTCAGAGCAGGATTATTGGCATAAAGTGTTGACACGTGTAGTTTCTGTTATTTGCTTTCTTCCTTCTAGAGGTTTGCCATTGGGTTGAGAAAATCATTATTAGGTCAGTAAAAAATGGCAACTACCTGTATTTAGGTATACTAGAGCTGCTGAGTGAATTTGACCCTTTCTTAGAAGAACATCTCAAAAGTATGGAAATCCTGGAAAAGGGAAACTGTCATATTTATCTGCAAATATTTGCAAGGAATTTATTAAATTAATGGGACAACAGGTTCTTTGTACTATTCTTGAGGAAGTAACAGAGTCAAAGTATTATTCAATAAGTGTAGATTCCACTCCAGATCTTTTCTCATGGAGCAAAGGATCAAACAGACACTGTCATGGATTTTCTTAATGAGAACAAAATTCCACTATCAAACTGCCGTGGTCAGTCATACGATAATGCATCAAATATGTCTGGACAATATACTGGATTGCAAGTACAGATTCATCAACTCAATGAGTTTGCCATCTACGTCCCTTGTGCTGGACACAGTCTGAACTTGGTGGGAGTAAAAACAGCAGTATTGTCTACAGACTGTCAAATTCTTTGACTTTGTTCAACATCTGTATTAATTTTTTGCTGGTTCTACTCATCGCTGGAATGTATTGACATCAATCTTTTTCCAATCTTTTGGAAAAGTTTGTGGTTAAGCATCTAACACATGATGGTCAGCACATTTTGATGCTGTTCATGCTCTGTATGGGGGTTTTGAGAAAATAAAACATGCACTGGATTCTCTGTCAGCTGACAATGAAAGTGAAAACAAGGTGAGAGGCAGAAGGATTGAGCAAAAAACTGGAAATAATTTTTCTCAATTCTTTGAAATAACACGCTAGAAATAACAAACAAAAAAAACAAGGTCCTGCAACATCCTTGCTGCCACAAATTTTCTTGAGTCTATGAAAACCTATCTTCAGGAAACTAGAGACAAATTTAGTGAATATGAATTCAAAGCCAGAATTCAGATAGATATAGATACAGATTACAGCGATGAGAAAAATGGGAACGTAAACGAAATGTGCGCCTTAGTAGGTATGATGTATCAGAAGAACAGGTATTTCTCATTAAAACCAAAAAATTAAGGGTGGAAACTTTCCTCCCCATTCTGAACACATTAATCTTTGAACTGACAAAATGTGCAGAGGCTTATTCACAGATTGGAAATCTGTTTTCTTTCTCCAGTGAATTGAAAACCATTGCTTGATGCACTAAAGAAAAAGTGTGAACATCTGGCTAATATGTATCACAAAGACCTGAATTATGATGACCTTATAAATGAATGGGAGCATCTCAAGCACTACATGACTCTTAATGAAAATTTTGAGACACTGCACTGTACAGAAAAATAATTTCGGACATTTTGAAATCTATATTCCCAAATGTTGAAATTGCACTCAAGTGTGTTCATGTGCATGATGATGACCAACTGTACAGGAGAACGTTCTTTTTCAAAACTGAAACTTATAAAAAAATCTGCTTTGTAGCACAATGAAACAGCATCGTTTGAACTGTCTTTCACTCATGTGCATGAAAAATGACATACTGAAGACCATTGACTTCAAGCCAATAATAAAGCAATTCTCTGGAAAGAAATGCCGCAAATGCTTGTTATAATAAGAAGTTTGTAGTAATTTCATATTGTGCCATCTAATCTGTGTAGCTTACCGTGTATTATTGTGTTTTTCAAGCCTTGTGTATTGTTCAAATGTTTATCATGTTGATTAGTTACTGCTGTACAACATGTTTTTAATGTTTTAATGCCAGTTTTGTTGAAGTGCCAATAAAATACAGTATACTGTATGTTAATATTATTGACCATTTACTTTTTATTCCTGTGAGTGGTTGTCATAGGGACCCATAATGCTGTTAAGATGGCCCTAGGTCTGACACTTCTTGCAGAAAACTGGCCAGTTTTTTCTTGAAGACTACCATTTTTGTTCCAGCAATATTACTTGCTGGGAGGACATTGAACAATTACAGACTATGATGTTCATACAGTGTTCTCTGATTCTGCTTATGGCACCTCTACTCTTCACTGGCTCTATTCTGTCTTTCCTACCATATAATTTGCCCCAGTATGTTGTTAATTTACTTTGCAAATTTAGGACTTGGCCTTCCAAAATTTTCCATGTACAGTACATATTATGTGATACCTTTCTCATCTCCTTTCCAAGGGATTTTAAGTAGGGATCTCAAGTCCCTCCAAAAAGCACAAATGTACAGAATGAAGAAAATAGAACACCAGGTACTGGGTTTCATTTCTTGAAGCAGTAGTAATAAGACATCTAATGTTATTCTTCAGCTTTATCTTGCCCTTGTTAGGTCTTATTTACATTATGCAGTTCAGTTTTGGTACTATAAAATGGACAAATTCTCTTGAATGCATAAAGGGAATAAGGTTATTCCCAAAAATTTTAAATCTTCCTTATGAAGAAATTAAAAAGCTAATTTACATTCTCTACAATGACAAAAAATAAGGTTATATGATTGAAGTATACAAATGGATGAAAAGGAATAACCTAGAGATAAAAATATGTTCTAATGACTGTATATCAACACAAAATAGAATAAGAAACAAAGGTTATAAATTGGATAAGTTTAGATTCAGGAAAGAGCTTGGTAAATAATGGTTTGGAAACAAGGATGTATATACAAACAAGGTTTGGATGTATGGAACAAATTACCAGGTAATGTAATAGAATTGGGATTGCTGATTGTTTTAAGAGTAGGTTAGACATATATACAGTACATGAATGAGTTGGGTGGATATAGATATGAGCTGCCTCATGTGGACCAATAGTCCTTCTGCAGTTGCCTTTATTCTTATGTTTTATGTATATTCTAATTGAAGATAACATTAGGACTACTATTTCAGGCAATTCAAAGTGAAATTTTACAACTACTGAAAATTTGCTTGAATGATCTAGATTGATATTTTGTTCTAGTTTGTGGCTTCAATACTAAATCCAAATTTATTCAGTTTGTTTAATTTTAAATAGCAATGCCAACTTTGTGCTTTCAATATTCTTGTAAGAGAGACATACAGTTTCATAATTATCGACTTTATTGGGAATTGTTTCTTGTGTATTGTCACAACTCTTATGTCTATTAAGACATACAACACCACCATAGATGTAGCAGTGGAACCATGAGATTCAAATGAGATCAGAGGCTAGTTTTCAGAGACATGTAACTGAAACGGTGTTCAGGTGTTATTTCAGGTTGTTTTAGTATTTTGAAGGGGTTACTGACAAAAGGGTAATCCTAAGCAACAGTCATGGGAAGAGGGCCGAGATTTCAAAGCATCACTACTATGAATATTTTCATTTATATCCAAACATAAAATAGGGGGACAATTGATCTGACTCTTACTCTTTTGGTTAGAATAACATCAGTAGTCACAAACAAATGCCCTTCAAGGTAGCAGAGCAAAGAAGCTCCCTATTCCCTGACAGGGCAGTGTCCATGGGGAAATCTTGTAAGAAATACATCCACTCTTCCTTTGAATGTCTTAAACATTGTGGTTGACAAATCTGGAGAGATTCCTATGATATGTGAGGAAGCAAAGCACCATAGACAGATGCAGAGAGATCAGCTATGGAACTAAATTGATAAAGAAGTTACGGATGTTTATAAGTACTCCAGACTCGATATGGGAAGAATATGGGAAAGGCCTGAGTGAAATTTATGTGTAACAGTGATGAAACACCATACATTAACCAGACCAATGATGAAATTCAGTGGAAATTAACCAGACCAGTGATGAAACAATGCACAGTAACCAGACCAGTGATGAAACAATGCACAGTAACCAGACCAGTGATAAAAACACAGTTCATATTAACCAGACCATTAATCTTGTACATATTAACCAGGCCATTAATTTATCTCGTATTCAAACCTCAGTATAGAATGTTAACCAACTCACCTTTCATTACACAGTACTGAACACTACAGTAATCATAAATTTCAATTAATAAAAAAATCACATTATGGTAGATAATCAAATAAAATTAATTTGATGGTCATGTTCCCTCTCATTCATAAGTATGACACTTAAGTCAAAGTAGACTCCTATATTACAATGCAATAATTTAATACACCATAAAATATGAAAATGAAGATGGTTTATATAATCATAAGCACTTTATTCATTAACATGTTCTCAAGAAAGTAATCAAACCTACTTATGTACAATGTTTACATTCTTCGAAGAGTAAAACCTATTGTTCAAGAATGTGACAAAAAGTCAAATAATCTCCAAGAAAATGCCAACATAATATCCTAAACAAATAATCATGTGCGCTCCAACCATTATTATATCTTGTGTAAAGAAAGCTAATAATACAGACTTAACATTTATTGGACACACATCACCACTTGATTAGATGATAGGCAACATTTTATAATAGGCAACAATGCCACTGCCTGATGACTGCCTTAGTATCACATTGCAGTCATTCCATTAAAATATACTAAATATACAGCAGCATGTTTTAGCAATATGGAATGTACATGTCACTTTTAGCAAAGCCTTCAAAGATGTTATTGATAAAACAGCTTTTATCCTTTAGCAGGATTTAATCTCCATACATCTATGGCATTGCAGTACTGTACTTACAATCACATATCAAATCAAGTGTGTGCTAATAAAAACCCAAAAAGATGACCCTCAAGTGTCAAAGATAAGGTACTGAGTTGGGAGATGAAGTCTTACAATAGCTGTGCCACAGCCAACATCTTAATGTCACCTACATAAAACTTCTAAAATGGAGGATATTTTCAAAGCCACAAAAAAGTTGAATACTGGACTGTATATCCAACAGTGAAAAACATGACATATGTTCAACACCCTCCAAAAGTTAATCATCTCAGTCAATATCATATCAAGAATGTTAAAAATTTACAAATAACAGTTTTTGTGTTAATGTATACATTATACACTATGTATGTGTGTGTGTGTATATATGTATGTATGTACTCACCTAGTTGTGCTTGCGGGGGGTTGAGCTTTGGCTCTTTGGTCCCACCTCTCAACCGAGATGCATGCATGCAAGGGTAAGATGAATGATTCTAACATGAATTTTCTCAAATCAATCAATCTGTGTGTTGGGGGGTCATGTATACAGGGTTATGATGTAGGTTGTAGAAGCAAACTCTATTTATAATTTTAAAACTAGATATCATAGGGAAATAGGACCGGAGTATTTGCTGTAAACAGCCAATGGCTCAAAAGGCGGGATCCAAGAGTCAATACTCGATCCTGCAGGCACAAATAGGTGAGTATACACACACACACACACACACACACAAAGTATATATTTATTACATCTTTCATCTTAGTTCTAAATTGTCTTGTGAGCAACATAGCCCAGTATTAAAAGGTACAATTGTCATTGACCTAGAGAAGGTCACAGATGTATCAACACCAGCTATTTGGCACATACCTCCTACAACAGCCTGAGCAATATTGACATTTGGAAATTGAATATTTAAGGAAAATGTGTTGTGCTGATGCTGGGTACCTGGGAGAGTATTCAAAGCCTCACTTATCTCACTGTGACCGACAAACACTTGGCTGGCAATTGCCTCTAAACTAGATTTAACTTGTAAAACAGCATCTGGCGTATACGCTGCAACCAGGTTGTTACGTTGCTGAGTATCTATAAGAGCATAAAATTGTTCCAAAAAACTCTGAACCATTTGCTCAGACATCACACATGAGCTACTGCTGGAAGTGCTTTCACTTGTGTCAGGCTTTGGAATATTCAGACAAAGATCCTTATCATGTTCTGAACTCGTATTTTCACTAAGATATGTATCAATATCCACAGTGTCCAACATTTTTAAGGCTTTAAGTTCCTTTTTCACCGTCATTATATATTTTAATGGATTTTCTTTATATGCATTTACAAGTGGATTATGTTGTAAACTCAGTTCAGTCAAAGGGAACATTTTTATGTGTTTTAAAACCTGTATATCACCAATTCTATTATGTTCTAAATTTAAGGCTGTTAGCTGTGAGGAGTCAACCTTTATAATTTGGAATAATTTAAAATTACTTACTCGAAGGTTGTTCTTGCTAAGATTTAGAGCTTTTAACTGCGGAACATTTTCCTTAATTAGTCGTAACACCTGCTTCATGGTAACTGTAGAACAGAGAGGTGCAAGAATATCCTTTTCCATAAGTACAGGGTCATGATGTAGGTCAGTTAGATCCAACAAACAGACTGCTGCGTTAAAGCGGCGAGACATGACCTCACGTAGCACCTGCAGTTGATCCAAGTTAAGCACCAAATCTGGAACTTCACACTTTGATGATGTAATTTTCAAACGACTACCATCTGGTCCTTGCACCCGATTACTAAGGCCTTGAATAGCAGTTGCAGCTGGTTCATTTGCCTCTAAATAAAAACAACTTTTGGATTCCATTTTATGAAAGCCAAGTGGTTGAAATTCCACTTCCAAAAAATTACTAATACTTGAGAAAAGAAAATTTTTTTCCACTGTTACTCCTCCTTCCACTTGCACTGTGTGCCATGTAACACTTGCCTTTGTTTTCTCTCTTCCTTTCTCATGGTGTCGTTCCAATTGCTCTTGTTTCAACTGCTTTTTCAATTGCTTTTTCAATTTTTTTTTCAGCTTGGAACTTTGTTTAGCACTCTTTGGTTTGACAGTACTACTCATATCCAATGCCATCATTTCATCATTTACAGTGAGTATGTCATTAGGTTTTTCTATTCTCCGAAGTCTTCGTGATTTCCGCCCCATATTGCTACAAAGTTGCAGGTAACCTGAAATAGTACAGTACATAATTATATGGCTGACAGATGCTCCCATCAGGCGAGACTGCAATAGTATGTCTATTCATCCATTATATTTGTTTACAATCAACCATCATCTATTACAAGAGAATGTATTTGAGAAACCAAATACGTAGTGAAATGTAATAAGCAATTACTGTAGATATGTTTTGGCCATAGCTGATTGAAGGAGGCATGTCTGTTTCAGACACCAGGAATATCTCACAATAAAACATGAATTGTGTAAAAACCCACACTTGTGTATTTGTGAAATTTATGTAAAGAAATTACACCAAGTCTATCACACTCTCCTGAGTGCTTTGTCAAGGTTTGTGTGTGTAGTTAGGATGAGACTTTCATCTTAACATCTAATGAGGCTGCTACCCTAGGTCCAATCCTCTTATCCTTCTTAACCTGACCATGTCACCTCTATTCCTGACTGCCGATGCACCTGCAGCAGTCAGGTGCATCATCATTTATGGAATTATGGTCAAGTGTCCTTTCTGTAATCCTGATATCCAGAGAACTGGAATTGTTATTAATAGAGAACAGTGAGCTTCCAGTGAATGCTGGAAGCTCACTGTTCTCGCGATATCGCTTGTGACAGCCACGGCCTCGACACGAGTCGAAAAGTTTCCCCATTCTGGTTATTTTATCTCGGGTATTTGTTGTTATCAGCTTTATAAACATTGCAAATTGACCTCTTTTCTCCTAAAGATCTTCTAATAATTCGAGAACAAACCTGACTGTACTATTGGGACCCTTTTAATGAAACCTACCATTGTTAGCTTGTACACCCTCAGCACACTGCTGTTACAGTCAGGTCTCTCTTATTTATTAACTTTCATAAATTTTGTATTGTTCATCCAGTAACTTTCATTCTCGTTTCCAATATTTAATACTTTATATTTATCAGTACCCAGTATTAAAATTTATCTACCATTCATTACATATTCACTAAGGTGTTTAAAAATTATCCCAGTAGTACAGTAATACCTAACATGTATACATACATACATTCTGGCTACCTGTCTCCAATACAGTGAATTGTTGTATTAATTAAGTCAGCTTGTAGTCTCTAGCTCTATTGATGTTTTTGCCTTCTGGTTTAGTGTTATTGGCAATTTAAAACATTACAAGCCATTTTTTGTATATAATTTATATAAATAGTCTGGGAAAATACTGGTTTGAAGAGTGCTGTCAAACTCATAATTCCTGTTGAATAATCATTCAACATAATTAGACACGAGATCGTTAGTGTGTCAAATGTCAATATGTCAATAAATGTCAATGTGTCAAAGAGTGTGCCAAAACATAAAACTCCAGTCAAGCTCAAAAATAGGAGCTGCCACGCATTGCCCAACAGTATATACATACTATATACATATATAAGATGTATATACATCCTATACATACATCTGCAGCATCCTATTCTTCTTGTGTGCTCTTCATGACCAACTGACCTTCGGTCTCCCGTCTTGACACATTTTGTCTATGACGCGTACATAAAAAAAAAAAATCCGCTTGGAAACTATCTTTCACGAAACTCGCAAATCACCCCCCCCCCCCACTTTCTTCACGAGTTCATTTTTAATTCTTCCTTCAGTTTCAGATTCATGAAGTCAAATTTGTGGCAACACAGTGTGTAGACTGAGCACGCTACCACAGCAAAGGGTTAATAAAACTAGCCCGGAACATGCGACCTTTCTTCATTTATAAAATACCATAGTCTTACACTCATCTATTCGGTAAATAGGAAGGTCCTAATAACCATTAAACTTATAAGTACACTCACCAACAGTGCTTTAGCCAACTATTTATTTATTATGTCCTAGGCCGTCACACCAGCTCGGAGTGCAGCAGTGTTGTGATGACCCACTACCTGTGCTGCTCACCATTGCCAACACAACTCTCATATGTATCATGTATTACTACTAGTTACAACCTTTATGGCTTTAAATATATATACAATTAAATTAGTTTTAGCATATTTTTTTCATACATTAATCTATTTTATATAGTATTTTTCAACCTATTAATTTATATTGATAATCCCTATAGGGACTATAACCCATGGAACTGCATACCCGCCGAAGCCTTAAATGCCAAAAAAAAACTTTGAGTACTTGTACTCTCTTAGTTGTGTTTGCGGGGATTGAGCTCTGGTTCTTTGGTCCCGCCTCTCAACTGTCAATCAACTGATGTATCAAATCTACATTTGAAACTGTATGGAGTGTCTCCACCACTTCACTACTTAATGCATTATTTGTTAACTACTCCATTGTTGGCTGCGCGCCCGTTAACAATTTATCAGCGGGCGTTGCTTGTTACTTGTAAAGTTCTGTCACGTGTCTGGTTCGTGGCTCGGTGTTTCCCCCTAGATCGCCGGCTGGCTCTGGGGTTGGAACGTCAGGTTTATAGGTACGTGTGGTGTGGTCGTTACCACCCGGTTCGTCGCTCGACGTTGGTGTTAGCGGTGCGGGAAGGTGGGGTTGGTATTCCTGATGTGTTTACCAGGGCTCGGGCGCTGTTCTGGGTCTCGTTGCGTCAGGGTTTAGCGTTGGGTGGGGGGCTCAATGCTTTGTGTATTTTTTATTGTTCGGTCCGGTTTAGTTTTTTGGTGGATTGCGGTGTTTGTCGGGAGGTGGCCTTTTGTACCCCTCCTGTTTACTCCTGGGCGGTAGACATTCTTCGGGCAGTCTGTCGTTGTCCGGGTTATATGTCTCTCTCAGTGAAGGCGATTTATGGGGTTCTATTTTGTCGTGTTCAGCCGCGGGTGGAGTCTTTATTCCCGTGTTGGGATTGGGGGGAGGTGTGGGCGGCGTTAGGGGCGCGGTTTTTGGCGCCGCAGCAGCGGGAGTTGTTGTTTCGCATGTTGCATTTGTCGTTGGCGACAAATGACCGGTTGTGCATGCTGGGTTTGCGTGCCTCTGACGCATGTGTCCACTGTGGTTTGCCTGAAACTCAGTTACATGTTTTCTATTTTTGTGAGAGGCTGAGTGGTTTGCTTGCTTGGTTTCGTGCTGTGTTAGCCGTGGTTTGTGGGCCGGGATGTCGGGGTGGGTTTTTGCCGTTTTTGTTTTTGTCTTTTCCGCGGGGCTCTCGACGGGTGCGTAATACGCTCTGTCTTCTTGTCGCTGACTATGTGTATTGTGTGTGGGTTGGCCGGAGGGAGGGTTATGGGGTTGATAGGGTTTTGGGGTTTTTGAGAGGGCGCTTACGGTTCACCTGGTGGTGGCTGCAGCGTGCTTTTCCGGATGATTTTTGTGGTTGGTTTACTGGTGCGTATGTTCGTGGGGCTGCTTTTGAGTGATTGGTCGTGGGTTGGGCTCGTGGATGTTGGCTGTGGGTTGGTTGGGTGGGTCTTGTTCCGGTTTGTTTTCGGTCCCCGGTCCTCCGATGGGCCTCCTCGGCGGGGGTTGGGCGGGGTGTGTGTGTGTGTGTGTGTGTGTGTGTGTGGTTGTTTTGTTCTGTTGTGGTTGCTCCTGTGGGTGTGTGTTTCGTTTGGGTGTGCTTGTGTGTGGGTGTGGTTTTTATGTTTTCCCTGGCTCCTGCGTGGGCCTTTGTGTTTGCCTTGTATGGGTTTTATGTTTTGTGCATTTTTGTTCTTTATGGTATGTATGCTTATGTGCTCCTCTGTCTTTGGAGCGTGCCTCTTCTGTCTTTTGTGATTTTCTGTGTGGGGGGGTTGGGGTGCCCGGGTTATGTTTTGTCCTCCCCCCTCCCCCCCCCTTTTCATGTACTACTGTTCCTGTGTTATGAGTGTTTTTTTGCCATTACTGATTGTTATTTCTCTTTTTATGTGCCATGTACTTTGCCTTGTGCTATTTATGTATTATTTATCTGTTCTTTCTTGATTTGTGTTTTGTGTTCTGCCTTTGTATTATGTCTTTTTAATTATGCTTGAGGAAACGGAGTAAGAAAAAAGAAATGTACTCAGTTATTTCTGTTTGACTTTCAATGTATGTATTTCCATGTTTTTTGTTTCATGTAGTTTTGTAATTTTGCCTCTTAGGGGTTTCGGAGGCCTGTTGTTCTGTACTTTTATGCACCTGTGTTTGGGTTGTTGGGCTGGGCTTGTATGTGCGGTCTCCTTTTGTATTTCTGTACTTAAGGTTGTGTGGATGTGCCTATGTTTTATGTTATTTCTATTGTGTGCTATTAATGTCATGTTCTGTTTTTTGTGGTACATACTGTCCCCGTTTCTGGGTTCTCTTTTTTTTTTTTGTGCCTTGTGTCATGTGTTTTCTTTCTTGGTTTTTGTTGGGTATGTTTAATGTATCCGTGGTTTACTTCCTTTGTTATATTGTCCTGTGTATGTTCATAACTTGTTTGTTCGGCGGGTGTCTGTTTTGTACATTGTGTATTCTTTTATAAAAATAAAAAAAAAAAAAAAAAAAAAATGTATTACTACTAGTTACAACCTTTATGGCTTTAAATATATATACAATTAAATTAGTTTTAGCATATTTTTTTCATACATTAATCTATTTTATATAGTATTTTTCAACCTATTAATTTATATTGATAATCCCTATAGGGACTATAACCCATGGAACTGCATACCCGCCGAAGCCTTAAATGCCAAAAAAAAACTTTGAGTACTTGTACTCTCTTAGTTGTGTTTGCGGGGATTGAGCTCTGGCTCTTTGGTCCCGCCTCTCAACTGTCAATCAACTGATGTATCAAATCTACATTTGAAACTGTATGGAGTCTGTCTCCACCACTTCACTACTTAATGCATTATTTGTTAACTACTCTGACACTGAAAAATTCCTTCTAAGGTGTCTGTGGATCATTTGGGTACTAAGTTTCCACCTGTGTCCCCTTGTTCGTGTTCTACCCGTGCTAAAAAGTTTGTCTTTATCCACCCTGTCAATTTCCCTAAGAGGTTTTTAGGTGGTTATCATGTCTCCCTCTTACTCTTCTGTTTTCCAGGGATGTGAGGTTCAGCTCCCTTAGCCTTTCCTCGTAGCTCATATCTCTCAGTTCCGGGACTAGTCTGGTGACATACCTCTGAATCTTCTCGAACTTTGTCTTGTGTTTAACTAGGTATGGACTCCATATACTCATAATTATTGTATTTAAATAATTTATAATTATTCCATTACACTCATAGTTATTGTATTTAGTAATTATCACTCTTCTTTCTCCTTGGTCTTGGGGGGGGGGGCTGGCCTCGGGTGAGAGGGGGCTGTGACGATCATTGTCTGGAACCCTAGGTGCGGGACCGGGACGTCCACCTCCCGAGGGTCGTGCGGCCCAGGCTCTCCTTCATGAGGCTGGGGTCGTTCATAGCCCTTGATGGGGTGGTTCTTCTCCGACCCCGACCATGGCGGTCTCCGGGGTTGGAGGTCCTTGTGCCCTTCTTCACCAACTTCAAGGTCATCCCCGGAACTCACAGTTCCTGCGACGGCGCTGGAACCAATCGTATTGGCGTATGCCTTTCCATTGGAGACTTTCAGCGCCGTGGAGAGGGGGGACCTGCTGCCTGGGTAACAGCTTCTCCCCCGAATCAACCTACCCTGGCTTTGCGCCCTGGTGAGGCCACTCCAGACCAGGCCGACATCAGAGCGCAACTCCATAGTCTCTTGAGACTTGATACCTACTACTCCATATAAGTGGTATACAAGGTCCTGAACGATTCCTTACACAAGTTTCTAAAGGCAGTTCTTGTGTTGGCCAATCTAGCATATGCCGCTGATGATATCCTTTTTATGTGGGACTGGAGACAGGTTCGGTGTGATATCAGCTCTCAGATCTTTCTCTCTATTTGACTCTTGCAGGATATCACCTCCTAGATGGTACATTGTGTTCCTTCTGCTCCCTTCGCCTAATTTCATTAGTTTACACTTTCCTGAATTGAACTTTAGTAGCCCTTTTCTAGACCATTCCACCAGTTTGTCCAGGTCGTCCTGTATAGTCACTGTCTTGATTCTTCTCATAATTTTTGCATCATCAGCAAACATTGAGAGGACTGAGTCTATACCCTCTGGGAGGTCGTTTACATATACTTGTATTAAAAACAGGATGGGTCCAAGTACTGAACCCTGTGGAACCCCCCTGGTGACACTCTCGCCACTGCCCGAAACGCTTTGCGTAATAGTGGCTTAAATTTAGGCATTGTATGTACTAGCTTTATCAATAAATCCATCAATGTTTGTATCACATTTTGTATGTATGTACTTTACCTGAATAAACAATTGAATTTGAATTTTGATGTCTCCCCCCTCACAGTTACTCGCTGTTTTCTGTTGCTTAGATACTTAGATACTTGTGGTCGGTCTCGAGCCCATTGTTGATGTGACGATGTGCATTGAATTTTGTAACTAGCTCATCACGATTGTAACTTGCTTAGCAATATGAAATGTGGGGTCCAGTCCCTGAGCCCATTATTTACCTCTGTAACTCTTTCCACTACCGCCCGCAGGATGGGTATGGGGTGCATAATAAATGAGCTAAACTAAACTAGATTTAAAATCCAGCTTAAAAAAGTAATCATGGCAATTGGTCGGACCTTCGATTTTATTTATTTATTTATTTATATACAAGAAGGTACATTGGGTTTATGAGAGTACATAGCATTGATGTTTTTACATTCTTGTAAAGCCACTAGCACGCATAGCGTTTCGGGCAGGTCCTTAATCTAACAGATAATTTTAAGTAGGTAATTTCTAGCAAAATTGAAAAAATGTTAACAGGTACATTGTAAGAAAATTTGACAAAGATTAGTAGGTACATTAAAGTAAAATTTGAGGGTTATCAACAGGTACATTGTAGCATAATTTGAGGATTATTTCAAGGTATAATGCAGTAAAATATGCGTTCAATATAACAACCATGATATAAGATGATAGCAATGATTACAATGGTGAAGTTGTATGGCTTAGGTACATATATTGG